TCTTCTTCTTTTCCCCTTTCCAATTCCTTCGTAAACTCCGCCGTAAATGCAAAACAAAAACAAAGAGACACGTTCCCAATTTCCCACCCCCCTTCGCCTTTTTATTTCTCAGCCCCAATTTCCCTCTCTCTTTCTCTCTCAATTGCGAGATCATCTCTTTCTCCTCTCTTAGACGCACATCTAGCAACTCACATTCGATCTTCAGCCCCTCTCTCTCTCTCCAAGAGACCGTCTCTGCATTCCCCATTCGCTTTCCTCTCAAACCCAGAACGCACATACCTATGCATACATATATACTTATATAGTCCATCAACGAAGAACAAAGAAACAAAGCAATTGCCCATAGGACGAAATAAAAAGAGCAGAGAGTCCGTTCCTATTTCCCCACCATGGCTGCTACGGCTTTTTCCGCTTCCAAATTCACGCAATCTTTCTCTCTCAATTCCACCAGATCTGTCGACAGACCCCCCCTCTTCCCTGCTTCTCATCCCCTTAAAACCACTCCCTCCTCTTTTCTCGGGTCCACCCGCAAGCTCTCCCTCTCCAGTCCCTCATCCTCCACCTCTCGCCGCCGCCGCCGCCGCCCCAGCCGTTCCCCTGCCGTCGTTGCCGTCTCCGAGGTTGTCAAGGAGAAGAAGTCTAAATCCAACGTTTCCCTCTCCAATCCGGTTCCTATTCTCAACCCTCGTCTATCTATTTCTATCCTGGTCCTGTTTTTGTGACATGACTTGCAATGCGGTATTATTTTTCCATATCAATTGGTACTAGTATTCATTCAGGTACTTGTAATGTGGATTTATTGTTACATATCAACTGCTACTAGTATAAAGTCAGGTACTTGTAATGTGGTTTAATTTTTCAATATCACCTGGTACTAGCACTAATTCAGGTAGGGTGGGCTGTGGGGGATGCCGCCCTCTGTCTCTTCACTCGATTAAAACAGAAATGAAAACGAAACAAATTCAGCTGTAAATATAAATAATACGGATGTACCTTCCTGATTGTTATTGTTTGGTGGTGGTGCAGTTGATTACCAATGAAGAAGGATTGGAATTGTACGAGGACATGGTTCTTGGAAGATCCTTTGAGGACATGTGCGCCCAGATGTACTATAGAGGCAAAATGTTCGGCTTCGTGCACTTGTACAATGGCCAAGAAGCTGTCTCCACCGGCTTCATTAAGCTTCTGAAGCAGGAAGATTGTGTCGTTAGCACCTACAGAGATCACGTCCATGCCTTGAGCAAAGGGGTCCCTGCTCGTGCTGTCATGAGCGAGCTTTTTGGTAAAACCACTGGCTGCTGCAGGGGCCAGGGTGGCTCCATGCACATGTTCTCCAAGGAGCACAACCTTCTCGGCGGCTTCGCCTTTATTGGCGAAGGCATCCCTGTTGCCACCGGGGCTGCCTTCACCAGCAAATACAGGAGGGAGGTCTTGAAGGAGGCTGATTGTGATCATGTCACTCTGGCCTTCTTTGGCGATGGCACTTGTAACAACGGCCAGTTCTTTGAGTGTTTGAACATGGCTGCGCTCTGGAAACTCCCCATAGTGTTTGTTGTCGAGAACAATTTGTGGGCCATTGGGATGTCCCACTTGAGGGCTACCTCAGACCCCGAAATTTGGAAGAAAGGCCCTGCCTTTGGTATGCCTGGTGTTCATGTAGATGGAATGGATGTTTTGAAGGTTAGAGAGGTGGCCAAGGAGGCAATTGGTAGGGCCAGGAGAGGTGAAGGCCCTACTTTGGTTGAATGCGAGACTTATAGGTTTAGAGGACATTCATTGGCAGATCCGGATGAGCTTCGTGACCCTGGTGAGATCTTCATTTGGCTTGTGTCTTCTTTTCTTTTGGCACATTCTATATATGAGTATTCATTTTTAAAAACTTGTAGTAGTAAATTTGTTTAGGTCCTGTTCACGGTCAAATATTTCTGTGTTCATAATGTCTGTGGAGGTCTAGCCTGGATACAACTTAATTAGGGGTTGCTTAGTATAGTCCTGAAGTAAACTGTTATTGTTTTGTCTAATTTTAGGTTTGGAGATTTGTATAAACACAGTCCATTAACCTGCCCCTTTTTGTATAATTGGGCCTGAGGAATAATAGGTAAGCTATGATGATTTTGGGATTTTTATGGTGTCAAAGTGATAACTTACAATACCAATTGTATGTGATTTTGTTGCCAAAATGCAAGGGCATTTCTATCGGTTGGCATGGTGATCTATAGTTTGCATGTTTGTGCTGCTCTATAGTTTGCATGTTTCTTATCTTCCATAGAAGAGGACGTCTCAGCATAATTATTTTCCCTGGCTGATAGGGTTCTTGTTAGTGAAATTTATATTTTCAGGTGAACTTATATACTTGGGCCCCGAATTTGTGTACCTGTGCTAAATGAATAGACTTTCGTTCAGCGATCATCTGGGAAAGAGCTTTAGATAACATGTTAGTTAGGAATTCAGTGGTGCCTTCCACTGCTGTCATTTAAAGAAATTAGCAATTAATAGGAAACCAGAAATTAGAAGTAACTAGTAAGGGGCTAAATGAATAGATTCTCGGTCAGCGATCATCTTGGAAAGAGCTTTAGATGAATTGATAGTTAGGAATTGAGAAGTGCCTTCCGCTGCTGTCATTTAAAGAAATTAGCAACTAAAAGGAAACCATAAATTAGAACTAGTAAGGGTATGCTTGGTTCAGACTGCAGAAGCAATTAGTTTCGTACATAAAAAATTAGTATGGGTTGTGGGTGGTAAAAATTCATAAGGATGGGTAGTTCCATATCAAATCAATTTGTTTCTTTTTCTTAATAATTTTTTAACTCAATTGAAACCAACTATTGCAGAAGATCTCGTACCAACAGATCTTAAAACCAATTTTGAGCTTCAAGTGGGACTTCGTTTACTTTTTGATGCATCTTTGTTTCTGGACTCTTGATATTGAACATCAAGCACAAAACAGTAGGAGATCAGCGATAGTTTGAGGAGGGTGGAGATGAGCAATGGCTGAAAAGGGAGAAGAGGGGAGGGTCATCAGTGAAAAATGATCAGCAATGGTGGGTTGGATTGAGCAGTAAGAGATAGGTGTAGAAGGGAGATTGGTAGTGGTGAGTTGATTCCCATTGTTTCCAACAAAGCACCCCCTAATTGTCATTTCACCTAGCTAATTCAAATATGAACTGCTTTGGAGGTGATAGTACTTGTTTGATGCATCTTTGTTTCTGACATGGGTTGGTTGGACTTTGGCATTGTCAATGTTCAATTAGGATAGTGCAGATTACAGTTTGGGATGAAAATATCCTGGTTTGGGGCATGAGATACTTCTTACAGATAAAGATAGGGCAAATTTCTGCAAGATAAAGTTGTTAGGAATCTGTCTGCATCTGTCTGGAGGCCATTAGGTGGTTTCCAGTTTTTGTGAACTGTTTTACACATTTCCATGTCTACTTGGTCACTTCCTGGTAGCTTCATTGTAGAAGAACTGATTCTCCTGCACCTCAGATTGTCTTCATTTCTTGTCAATACTAAATAGATTGTAATTAAAATTGTTTCCATTACAGCTGAGAAGGCTCGCTATGCTTCTCGAGATCCCATCTCTGCCTTGAAAAAATACATGTTTGAAAACAATCTGGCGAGTGAAGCAGAGTTGAAGGCTATAGACAAGAAGATTGATGAGTTGGTCGAAGATGCTGTAGAATTTGCTGACGAGAGCCCTCTTCCAGCTCGCAGTCAGCTGCTGGAGAATGTATTTGCTGACCCAAGAGGCTTTGGAATTGGACCTGATGGGAGGTACAGATGTGAGGACCCAAAATTCACTGAAGGCACTGCTCAGGTCTAAACTCTTTTTGCTGAAATATTAGCCCAGAGTAGTTTGATGACAGCATGATTATGTCTAGCAATAACTGAAAACAATCATAAGCTTATTTGTCATTTGTATTATTAGTGTTGCTTACATGAGAAGCATTTTTTTTGTTTGGGCCACTGTTTCAATTTTGTCTTACCTCTAATATCTCTCTAGTGGTACCGCCTTGTTGATTGGATCGATGTATGTTGGGAATGACAAAGGCTAAGGGACCTAGTTTCCACTTTGAGCTTTCTACATATAGTCATTGTTTACCTCTAATAACATAAACTATATAATTTCTCTGGTTTAGGTTTATATTCTTATAGACTCCAGAAAATTGTAAGCAAGTTCACTTCTTTACAGAAGGAGGGGTGGTTCTGGTGATTTTTAGGGTGCCTTTCAAGGTTCCAATTGCATGGGTGATTTTAACAGTGAATCAAATATCATACACATTGGGACTGTATTGGACATTTTCTTCCAGAAGTTCAATATTGTTCGATGGACTCTTCTTCTTTACCCTTTAGTTCAAGGCTTTTAAAAATACGCTTGAAAGAAAAACAAAACCTGACTAGCATTGACATTTGAACCATCCCAGAACGATTGATAAGGTAAAATACACTGGATCAATTGATAATTTTTAGTCTTCCAAAACTCAGTAGTACCGTACGCATGCATTCTAAAGCTGTGCTTGGAAATGAGAAAGAATGAATGAAGCACGTGGAGAGAATCAAAGTAGTCTCCAAGGGGGATAATTCAAAGTTTTAATCACAGCATCAGTCACCCAAAGTTTAAACTTTGCTCTAACTGTGGCGTATATATAGCCGTGTCAAATGTGTTTCTTGCTGTAACAGTTTGGTACAGCTCTTGGTGTTGCTTGCACCACTTCAAAGCATTCTCTAGTTTTTCTCCGGTCCAAAAGTAGATTAGATTGGAGATCCACTTTTACCCGGCAACAATGGGCAAAAGCACCAGGCGGCTGTCATACAACCGGAACCTTTCCCCCCTGCGCCACCAAAAGGATGAAATTAGTAAATAAATAAATTGTTCAGCAGCATGACAGTTGGATCCTCTCCTTTTACAGCCAAGCGATGAGTCAATTCACTTACAGTACACACTTCACACACACACACGCACGCAAAAAAAGAAAAAGAAAAAGAAAAAGAAGTTGACCTTTCCAATCATCCGTACATCCCGGGTATGCGACTGGCCCACTACTGTATCTTCGCACTGATATTTCAGTCGATTTGTGAAGTAGCGCATCTTATCTTATGGACCTACTATGGAAACTTTGATTTGGGGGTTTTTTGTTTTCTTCCCTTTTTACGTATTGTTTAATTGATAATGCCAGTCAGCCATCACTGAACACAGGATGGTCCACCCTCCACTAAGCCACTATACAAAACATAAGAACCACAGAAGCATTGACCGTTTGTCAATACGCTAATATCAATGACCGAATGAATTACCAAAAGAGAACAAGAAAATTGAATCCCCTTTTTTGATCCTTTCCTTTCCAGCCTTTCATTGGTGTGTCGGCGTTGGCTGCATCTATTCTAGTAGAGATTGGAGAGAGAATTTGAACGAACCTTGCTCGAAACATCCCACCGACGACAACCCCTCCTCGAATAACTACGCTGTCCCCCCCCCCTCCCCCCGGCCCGGCGGGGATAAACCTATATAACTTCACTTTCTCTAATATTCTTCCCGCTTTGTGTCGGCAACCACCGTCCCAGCTTCGGGACCGGCCTTAAGATTCAAGAAACGAAGACCACAACAATGAACCGTGTTTCTTTAGTTGAGTATCATTGTATATACCTAAATATATAGTTGCCTGCCCTCCTCGACCTCGTCGCATCATGTATGATATGACATAGCAGTAGTAAGTAATATATACAGGAGTGCTATCATATACAAGTACTAGTGGAATTATATATATATATATATATGTATGGGGAACTGCGTGTTTAAAGGTTTTGGAGAGGTTGAACACATGGTCAAAGTGGTGACCTCAAATGGTGGAGTCATGGAACTCTACGCCCCCATAACAGCGGAGTGCATTACCAACGAGTTCCCCGGCCACGGCATCTTTCGGAGTCGAGATGATCAAGACCCCTTCTTGTTGTCGCCGCCTCTACACCATAAAGAAGAGCTTCGTGCTGGAAAGTTGTACTATCTCCTCCCTCTCAACAACAACAGCAGTACCAGTAATATTACTACCAATAATCACGTACGACAGCAACAAGAAGAATACTTACTAGAAGATTCTGCTGCAAGAAGCTGCAGCAGTAAGTTGAGTAGTACTAGTCAGCAATCAACGGGTGCGGCCGCAGCGACTACTTACCGTATGTCCTTGGATAACCATGGGAAAGTGTCGAAGCGATCCTCAGAAGGAGCAGAGGTGTTCCCCAGGTACAACAGCAGTGGAGTTTGGAAGGTAAGGTTGGTGATCAACCCTGAGCAACTTTCAGAAATTTTGTCGCAGGAGGCCCGCACTGAGGCACTCATCGAAAGTGTTAGAACGGTGGCCAAGAATGGTACTACTACTACTTGTACAACGTCTGGGGTTTCCTCCATTGACCGCTCACAATTTATGAGATGAATGCAGTGGTTTGTGATTAATGAATTCAACTAGTACCAAGTTTTTTTCTTGATGATATATCGTGGATAGCTCTTCATCACCTAATTATTTCAACAAGTTCTCTCCCCTTTTCTTTCCAAAAAACTACTAGTAGCGTACACCAGTCCGATTATTCTATCCTTTTGAAGATTGAAGAACATGTAAGATGAGTCTTTTTGCTTTTAACCAATCATTCTGTCCTTTCGATACTCTGTGTGTGTGTGTGTTTTTTTTTTTTTTTTTCTTGGGGTGGGGTGGGGTGGGGGAATTGAGCGTCAGCCTGAAGAGTGCAAGACCAAATAAAGCTCAATGTACATTATGCACCGGCATGCGGATGAAGGAGCATTACTACAAGAAATCATAAGACCGACTTCTTTAGTGCTCCAGGAGGAGTTCTGAGTATTCTCTATCTAATTGTAGTTTTTTCCTTCTCTTCTGCTTTTATGCCATGGTCTTGTCTCAATAACGTAGTAGTCTAGCTCTGTTCGGATTGGATAATTTTTGTTGTAATATTCTTCTCCAACCATAATTTATATTTTCTGAATTACCTTTTTTATCTTACATATATATATATACACACATGTATATCACATCAAATACCAAAAATTAAGGAAACTAGCATTGAAAGTCAAGAAATAAGTATCTAGAAATACAAAATCAGTACTTTCTAAGAGAAAAATATGTATTCCCTTCTCATTCAGTCCACTAGCTAGTGCTTGGTTTTTTTTTTTGGCATTGCCGATTATAAAGTAGAGAGTGATAGAGAAGGGGAAATGAAGAGAATGTTTTTTTTTTTTTTTTTTTTCATCACAGTGGATATCTGGGGCCAAGGACTGGTTACCGTACGCCCCAACTAATCCCACTGCGTGACCGCGAGAGGCTGCCCAACATCATCGGTCAATGTTAACGACTGGGATTCGATCCTTGGTTGGTGGCTCTCACCCAACTGGGCTACAACCACCGGACCAAACCCAGACTGGGCAAGAGAATGTTGTATTAGATAAAATTATATGTTTACAAGTACATGAGGTGTCTTATATAGGTATGGTAAGATATGATAAATGTAATGATTGTGATAGTTGGTAGATGTTGTAAATACATGAGATTGGTGGATGGTAGAATTGAATACACTAGATACAAGATAGAATATCACAATTCATTCCGTCATTTTTCATAGAAAAATTACTGTAGCGATTTGATGTATGTGAGGGAAAAAGGTAATAGGAAAATGTGATCACGGAAAACGACGTAATTTTTCGACGGAAAACGGCAATCCAAACAAGGTTAGTATAGAAAACTCTAAAAATATGAGTTAGTTAGTAGTTATATTTACATATAAGAGCCGAAATTTTGCAGTGTGATAATGCATACAATACATCTAAAACATGTGTTAGAATATCATTCCAAACAGAAACGGGAGGATGTAACAACCTTGTTGCGTGTGCTTAATGTCATAGATTTCACTCGTTGTCGATGGATCTAAGATTGATCAAATGATCCGCGAGCACTAAAAATACCGGACGCTTCTACCATGCACAAGGGATTCTCCTGCTCATGATGATTGATGGACGGAACCAGTAGAAGTTTAAGGACCAAGCATGGGATCCACTTAGATGATTGTGGGACATGAATCAGAAGGACGACGGTGTCAAATAAACATATACGATGGGCATCGATGTAACGCTCAATTCCGGGAACTAAACTAAACATCAGGACACTGAAAAAAAAAAATTAGCATTTGTGGATACAATGTAAGTTTCGTAGAAACCAATCCGGATATTGAGAGGAGTATATGTCATTAAGGTAGGGTAATTGGAGAGAATTTTCTCTCCATTACATTTAAATAAATATCATTATAATACTATTTTTGAAAATCAAAACCATCCCTATTATATTTTTTTCAATTGTTTAAAGCATATACAAAATTGAAATTAAATTTATTAAATTTTGCCTATAGATCAAACTTTAAAACCTTTATCATATTTTGACCCATTTTGCACTATCAATTTTTTTTTTTTTTTTTTTGCAAATTGAATAATAAATTATTCATAAATGAGTTTGATATTTAAGCATATTGATCTACTCTTGGAAACAAAATTATGCACACAAGCAGATTATTATGGAAATTTTAAGTAGTATAACTATTAAAAAAATGGATAGGTAAATGGAGAAAAAAAAAAGTAGTAATTGAGAGGATCTCAGTAATGGTATTAGTAGCCAAAGACCACCATAGTAAGGGCAGTGGGATACTGGGATCCATTAAAACCTGTATATGTATATATATATATTACTATATTGTTAAATGGCCAAAATACTCTATATTTGTTGGATAAAATCAAGTATCTGTGTCTAATTTTTTGGAGGCCAAGGTAAACGAAAAGCACGAGACGCCCGAAATAGAGGTTTATGCCAAATTTCGGTTGGAGACCTGCGTCCAACCGATAAGTTATGTTATCGGTTAAAAGGTATTGTTATGTTAAAAGGTATTGTCCTCTTCCCTTATTCTTCTTACTGTGCAGTGCACAGACGATTCAGCTTTGCACTATAGATGAATCCCACTCAATTGCAGGTGGCGATCGACATCAAGGTTGGAACACGCAACGTACGTCTGCCTCTAGTTTCATAGTAGTATTAAGCAACTGATCCCATTTGAGTTCGGTGATGGGTTTGTTGTAGCTTGACTACTCCCTAACCGTAAAACTGTTTATTGTGATCCATCCATGTGTTCCGCGATTTTAATGAAAGTGATCAGTAGTTTTTACCATAAAACTCGAGTTGGTTACTTTGATTCAATCTCGGATTACCCATTTTAACACGTTTATGTCTGTCGAACAGTATACTTGTTGCTGTTGAATGTGTAAAGTCAGCAATTTTGGTGCATTGGAACTAAAACTAATGAAACTGCACCAAAAACATTCAAGTTGGTTGCAGACCCAGGTGATTGAACTCAATGGTTCGAGTTAACCACTGACAGGGAAAAACTTTTTATTAACACGCATGATCACATTTCTTTCCTTTTTTTTTCCCCCTTGCATATCACATAGTTATGTGAATAATCTAATTAAACTTGCTTCCATATAATACAGTGCCTGTAGCAAGGAATAAAATCCTTTCGACAAAACACCACCCATCTAGCTAAGACGGCAATGAGTCCCACCACTGGACGTCCTAGGTTGGGCTCAAGCGCTCCCGGCAGCCCAAAACAAATGGATTTGCAGCAAAGAAGAGCCTTTGGCAGGAACCCCGGCGGAGCCTATAAGTAGCATCAAAGGTGCTATAATCCTTGTTTTCGGTCCCCGATCTTTGAATAATATGGCATTTTCTTCGTAGGCAGCAGCGACATTAAGGTTGAGCCACACCATTGGCTCTTGTAGTAGCATGGACGAGGGCTTTGTCTCGATGCACAAGCAAAATGGATAACTGAGGGGACCTCAACCAACTCCTTAGCCCATTTCTCGGTCCAACTACTCCAATGCTCGCGTAGTTGGTCCCTTGCAATCAAATGAACGCCTGACAAGGTAACCTGAAACATAGATTTCAAAAAGGAAAGTGCTCTTAATAGGATTCATGTAACTTATGCTGGCTAACACAAGAAGGTGCTAGGCCTAGGCCTGTCAACGGAGGAGGGGCAGGAACGTAATCGTTCCTGAAGATTTATGATCAAGATTTGGTCAAAAAAAATATAAGGTTCAGATTGTATCTTGTATATCGTATTTTATATTATGTGTGGGATTCACAAAATTTTGTTTTATAATTACAAGTTGTTAAAAATGAAGTACCGTGTGTGTATACAAAGTTACAAGTCGTGCATTTTGCACAAAATCTCCAGAAACGGTTGCCCTGTCGAACTGTCAACACCAAGCTACCCCTACATGAGAGGATAGCTTCTAGACCTAGTTCCCTAGGCTTCTCTCTCTCCGTCAGTAGTATAAATATCTCCCATCTTACGCCGCTAAGATGGACAACCCCACTTCGTGCCTTGTTCCTTGCTGTGTTTTTAAACTTGAATTGGACCGATCGAACCGGAAGTCGGTCAAGTGTCCGGTCTGAGTTATTCTTCAAAATCGGAAGACTAAAAATCCGGTCAAATCCGGTTTGGTCGAGAAAAAATCGGAAAAACCGGTTCAACCAAAGATTTTTTTTTAAAAAAGGTCAAACTTTTTCAATATTATGTTTTGACCCCTAAATTGTTAAAACTTATTAATATATCTCAAATATTTCATACTTTATAAATGTTGTCCTAAAATTTGATGTTATTTTTCAATCAAATCCATAATTTTAATTCTAAACTTGTTAATGTTCATTAAATAATATAAATTACTACTTGATTGTTCTAATTTCTTTGTATTTTCTTGTTAAATATATTTGAAACATCAAATATATATGAATATACCTTTATTAATATTAACATACTTTTAGATATTTTATATACAATATTTTAATTTTTAAATAATTTTTATTTATGACATCATCTGGTTCAACTCCGATCGAATCCATTGACCCCTGAGCTCGGCCGAATCGATACCCGGTCCGAGTCTGAAAACATAGGTTCCTTGTTATGTTGCAGGCCTCGACTCAAGCTGTATATTGGCTCGCACAATAATGATGAGAGATCTGAATTTAGAGTGCAATGTCATGATTATAACAACAATCCCCGACAAAAAGTTCGCCCTAACTATAAAATGCGCATCGTCAAAATTTCAATGAGATTGGGCATTGCTAATTGCTATTGCTGGATGTCTATAACGAATCCGAGGCGATGACGACTTCCTTTTTTTTTCCCTTTTTTCTGGATAAATTACACTTATACCTCCACTAGTTTTGCACTTTTTCACATAACTCTCATATATTTTCAAAAATTGTACATCATTTGGCCTAAATCGCATAGTGACAAAACCTGCCTTCTGAAACGGAGTCAACGAAAATATCAATTTCAAGTATTTCTTAACCACTTATGGTTTGTGTAGGTTTCAAAAATCACAAAATAGTTATGTGTAAAATCACTAAGCTACAGAGGGTACAAATGTAATTGATAATATTGTATTAATATCTTAACTACTTCAATCACTTTAAATTCTAAACAAGAGAAATTTTGACATTTCAGTTACATGTATTAGAGGCGACCATATTCGTCTCTTTAATACTTTAATTCAAAACCATGATAAAATCATATACAGCATTTGAGGGTTATGCAGAAAGTGCAAAATCA